AAACTCCCAAACTTTAGACGGTCGAAGGCAAAGCTGGAGCTTGTCCAGGGGAATCCCACTAACACCAGATGGAATGACGCTTCGACGCACGTAATGCAATTCAACGTATTTACATAATCTATTACGTCGACGAATCACCTCAGCTCTAAAGCGATTGTCGCCAAACTTGACGCATCTGTTCAGATGCTCGGTCCGGGCTTCGCAGAGCAGTCCTGGGATATTCTTCCACTAGGGGGCGCTACACAAGCAAAAAGTTTATACCTCGTAATTCGCTGCATGGATTTGTACAAAATTCGGTTTGTACGATCTAGAATCACTACTCAGCTGATGCATAAAATTTGGTAATGATTGCTCAAAGTAGGCGTGGCTTATTACAACAAATGTAAGTTTCTAGACATTTCTCATTCCAAACTTCAAAAAATCTAAGAAAATCACCTGTAAGTCCTAGAGAGCTGAATTTTTTTCAGCACATCCACTGATATGTGACAAACGTTTGCCTCACTGCAACCTATGGTCAATTCAGAAGTCAGTCACTCTATATTTTTCAGGATATGCTAAAAATCAATTAACATCTATATCTCCACAAGTCTTTGTTCAAACGCTATCAAAATCAACACAGATATTCTCTATGTGACCGATATCAAGTATTTCAAAGGGTATTCAAATCGGCCAAACGGTGAGTCTGCACCAAGATTATTACTGTTTTGGATTTTTCATTAGTTTTTATTTTTATTTAGTTTTGACTTTTGTTTTCAATTCAAGTTTAGTGATAATTAGTAGTTAACTTGGGTTTACTAGTTTAGTTTTTATTTTTGGAAAATGCTTAGTTTTAGTTTAGTTTTTATTAGTTTTAGTCTTTGTCGCTGCAGGATGCCAAGCTCAGTTCAGTTTGGTTCAGTCGAGTTTAGTTTTTCACAAAACATTAAAATACAAGTACAATCAGAAATATCCCTTTTTTAAGCTACCTGAAGCTTGTACATAGGGGCCCAAACAATAAGCAAATATATATTTTTTGTTTTTTGTTTTTTTGAAGTACTGGCACATTGTCGAAATAAATACTACTAATATATGAAGCACATGCAATCTACAATATAATTTCTAACCTACATACAGAAACCCTAAAAGCAAACTACCCTAATCCCCAGTGGTCCCAAGAAATTTATTACATCAGTCCCTAGCTCATTCATGGTTATATAGGTGAAATCCAATAAATGGAGGTGAAATATAATTGATGGACAGCTAAGAAACTGGAGGATAGTTGAGGCCCCATTTGGAGCCACAAACAACAGGTGACAAGTGTTACTGAAAAGCAGTTATATTAAAATCTAAACCTTTATTAATAAAAAAATCGGAATTAAAACAATGTGATGCACAAAGAGACAGTTTGGCTGAGATATCAATGAGCCCATAAAACACACACTAACTGACATGCAGTAAATATATTGACCAGCAGACACGTAAACCCAGTGCACGGGGAGCTCACAGTCTGTGGGCAAGTTTATCCCACATGCAGGATGCTAAGCCAGACCATCAGAACAGAGCAAAACCACCCAGACAGTGACTCACTACCCGCAACCCAAACTAAACAAAACTCTATACAGTTGTTGCATTCATATTATTTTGTACACATGTAAAGATAATAGAAAACATGTTCAACATGTTCACCAACTACCCAGCCGATCCCTACCTGGGTCTCCCGACTAAGTTAGCCTACCCCTAATGTTACATGGAGCTCTCCTCATAACAGTGGTCGCCACCTGCTACGCTGTGGCCAGACGCCGCCCTTACCCCAGGCTCTCTTGACCGACATGCAGCGTGTCAGCTCTTCACACGGAGGACAAAAGCATAACACACCCGTGGCTCCCCAACAGGTGCCTATCTGCTAATCCACTGCGCCATGTCAGTTCCACCGACTTCATATCTACTCGAAATGTAGGCTTAGGTCCTATAAAATAAATAAATAAATGAAAACTAAGGATAGCTTTCATTTATTTATTTATTCCTTTTTACTCTTTCATTTTAGTTAGTTTTGCAAACCTATAATACAGTTTAAGTTAGTTGTCTTTTTTTGCAAAGCCTCATTTTTTATTTTTATTTTAGTTAACGACAATGTTTTTTCACATCTAGTTTTCGTTATTTCATTCGTCTTCATTAACGATTATAACCTTGGTCTGCACTGATATTCAATATCTTGCTATCACTTGTACAGTATGCACAACATTTTCTTTTTCGCTCAGTTTTGGATCAAATGCCATCAAAATAATTGATGTGTGATTTTTTCAGAATTTTCTTATCAACATCTTGACTGTAGGCGTTTTAAGTTTAAACTGCTGGTGGGTGATGATGGTGCATTTAACCCCTAGTTGCTCCAAAGGAGTGCAACCTCTGACATATATATAGGAACTGTAAGTCGCTTTGGATAAAAGAGTCAGCTAAATGAATAAATGTAATGTAAACTGAAATATCTGGGTCAGGCACATGTGATGTCACTACCTCAACTTGTGAGAAGGTGTGTCCTCAGTCAGTAAGTCACCTTCTGTGGAGATCTGAAGTTCAAATCTCCAAGTAAACAAGTCAGACTTGCTGACAATGGGGGTGTTCAGATCATAGTGAGTCATTTGGATCCTGTGACACTTTCTTCCAATTTTTCTTGGCTAAATAGTGTTTGTGCAGCTTAAACTTTAAAACTTGGAAACAGAAAATGTTGCAGGTGGGTTGAACATTTCACCCAGTGGTCAGGTACATATAATGATCTCAAGGTGATGCTGTAAAAATCAAGTTTGCGTTTCCCCAATTATCTCAAACCTGCATCTCCTCTGAAAATATCAAGTTTCATTCAAATTTCACAACTTGTTTGGATCCCAATATTGAGTATTTTAAAATAACAGTGCATTCTGCCGCTTGTTTTCATTGTGAAATTCTGCTTTCTGTCCAAATGACACGTTAAAGAGAATGCAAAGCTGCATGCAAAGGTCTTGTAAGTGTAGCGTAATTTGATCAGTCAGGCTTCTGAGGCTGTGTCCAAATCCTGCAGCTTGTGCTAGGATTGACAGACCTGGGGTCTCATTTATAAACGGTGGGTACATACAAAACAGGGCTGGAAACGTGCATACGCCACTTCACAAGCAAAGGTTGTGATATATAAAAAACAAACTTGTCGGGAGAATGTGCGGTCATGTAAGTAAACTCTGAAACTTGCGTACGCGCATGAAGACGAGAAATGAGAAACGGCGACTCACATGGCAGAAGGATGAATTGGTTTAAAAAGAATTGGCCTACTATTGTGTAAAATAAATTGAAATATTATCTTTGAGTATTATAGGCTTAAAGCCTTTCTGAATAAACACCTGTTTGACTGACTTTCCCTTAAGTGTGCAAAAAAAACCCACACAATTTAAGATCATTTGCAGCACACAGAAAAAGATCCAGATTCAGGATAATAAACACAAACAAAGATATCTGTTTCTGCAAAAGAACGCCTCAATTATGTTGTACAGTTTAATCAGGAGCAATATTAATTAATAGCCTACTAGCATGCAGTGCAATTTATTCTCATAAATAAGGTGAACAGGAGGACAAATTACATTTAAATTGATGCTGTTTTCAGTGCATCAGTCGAGCAAATAGGAGAGCATAGTGTCATATATTGTTATCAGATGTTTGTTGCCTTTTCAAGCCAAATGCTGTGCGCAAGCGTGTGAATGTTGATGCGCTGCTTGTAAAAACACATTATGGAAACATTATTTTCTATCATTTACAAGAAGCCATATTTATTTTAACTCATCGGCAGTCTTGTTTAGTGAGTGGACTGTTTGTGTAGCCTAATAAATATTCAAACACAAGTGGAAGTCATTTGGTTTACTCAATTTCAAACGGGGGAATCCAAATTAATACCTGGGCCATCCCGTCTTGCGTGTGTGTTCCCTCCGGTCAGTGACGTCACTACTCAGGAAGGTTGCCCCTTCCTGCGTATCGGTTATAAAGGGATGGAGCTCCGGTGCCCCCTTTCCTTCGGTGCACAAGCGTTATGTGAAAGTGCGTTTTTTACCCACCAAACAGCATGTTTCAGCTTCACCAAAAGGAATGTCAGTGTCATACTGAGTTATATTTCATTTTGTAGCTTTTCTGTCAGATTTTGACTCCTTTTCTTCCAGCAGTCAGTATGTATTAATATTAAAGAGGGGCGTTTCACTGACCATTTATAGGCAACTATGGGTGTTTGAAGGGTCGGACATGGAGCTCCCTCACATGCGCCACATTTCAAGGTGATTGTGATTTATAAAGGGAACTTCCTTACAAGTGTGCATACGCACGGTTTTATAAGTCTGAATATTTTTTGCCGTACGCTTTTAGTGAGGATTCTACGCACAGTTTTATAAATGAGACCCCAGAGCAGTTAAATTCAGATCTTTCCTGTCCCACAGAGGGAATTCTTTTTGCAGCAAGGCAGCTTGAAAAATAATAAAACACATAGCACTAAATAACATCTCTGATCTAAATATCGACAAAATCGTGCAATAAGCAGAGCTTTTATGGGGGATGGTACACGGCGTTGGAGTATTGCTGCATTCATGTCATATCAAAATGATCACAATAACCAGTATCCAATTTGTAAATGGCATTCACATCAACATCCAAGTCATAATTATGACTGGGGAAATGTCAATATATCAGACTTCGAACCTAATAAAGCCAATGTGCCTAATAAATCTCACAAACACAGATGCCTCATGCCAGTCAAAGTCTGTTGTTCTAGGTAATTAAATCCAAATTTAATGGATATAATGTTATACTGGCAACGCACAGTATTTAATAATCCTCACACAACCATCCTGACTTGTTCGATGACATGAACGCTTACAAATCATAAACACTGGAATCTTCGCCATCTCTACCAGCCATCACATATGAAGTGAAAGCAGCATAAGCATAAGCGCTGCCTGAGATGCTTAATTAATGCTAATCAAGCTGAATCAGTACAGAGGGTATCTTGTACTCACTGTGGGTCTGTGAGGGGCTGGCTCACCCACTTTCTCATCAGTCTCTTCCCAAACGGGGTGCGAGTGTGGTCCAACACCCACAACAGACTGCCCTTCACACCACCATCTGTCTATGATCGAAAGAACACACACAAACATAAATCGCAGCTTGCACGTACAACATTTGAATGAGCCAAATTTCGGGAAGAAAAAAACACTATGATGTAATAAATAAGTAAGGAGGTGAGCAGGTGATGGAAGCCACAATCAGTCAGGTGAGGAGGCTTGAACTGAGCTTGAACTCCATGTGTGACACACACGCCACCGCAGCGGAGTCGTGCTGAACATCTGAGCAATCACCAACGCAAGTCTGACTAGTCACTGAACATTTTCTTGTGATCAGGGAAATGACAACTTCACTCACTCATTAAATGTTTACAACTGCTGTGCAACCATGACTGTAAACAGTCTTGACATATATAAAAAAAAAAAAAAGTATTTGCACTGGAAGGTGTCTATCTACCAGGTATGAACTGGTGCTACATAATTAAAACTGAATTGTATTGAACTGGTAAGCTGCATGACATTTCTTTCTGCTGGCTGTCAGCATTGTTGTGTTGAAAGCTTGCCAAAATATAAAACTATCACCAACGTGCACTTTTGTTCTGCAGCCTCCCTCGACCTTCATCAAGCCAGAGTAGTAGAGTTGAACTTGAGTCAGCTGTAAGTCACTTAACTTAAATAACAGATATTTGATTAGGCTACGTAAAATACAATATTAACACAGGTTTAAAAGAAAAATGTTCTAAAGCCGTGTCACTCCAATGTTCGGCATTGAGAGTAGGGCTGCAACTAACAATTATTTTCACTGTTGTTTTAATCTGTCAATTATTATCTCGATTCATTAGTCATTCATTAGTTGTGTGGTCTATGAAATGTAAGAAAATAGTGAAAGATCTGTTGTTTCAAGTAGCGCAAAGAGGACATCCTCAAATTTACTGTCAGAGGAATAAATAAACCCTGAAAATATTCACATTTAAAAATCTGGAATCAGAGAATTTTGACTGTTAAAATACTTAAACTGATTATCAAAATAGCTGGTGACTGATTTAACAGTTGACACTTAATGGATTAACTGTTGCAGTTCTAATTGAGAGACCTTAAAGACATGCTTATGAAGACCTGCAACATGACTTCCCTTCACACACTTGAGACTTGACTTAAAAACAGTTCTGGCTCTAGCCAATGTTATTAAAAAAGCACAATTATCATCAGTAGGCCAAATACAAAGTGCAGATATGTCTGTTTAGCAAATAATGTACACTAGAGGATTATTACAGTATGGTGCAGTGTAAACCATTTATCATCCAGACACACGTCACCCCTTCATTATGCTTGATCAGTGGCCATGACTGCCAGCTGAGATGAGCTTTTACCTGATTGTTGAGGATTTCCAGGTTCCTGAGGGTGGCGGCACTGAGGACCATACCTCCGACTCACAGGATAGACGTCGGAATGAGCTGCACGGAGCACAAAATCATTAAACTACAGCTGCATAATCAAATGATCAATGCAATATCTATTGGGAAGAGGTTTAAAAATGTGATAACTGGAATGATTAATTTCTTTCTGCAACTCAAATCAAAGAAATACAGAAAACTGTTCTTATAAGTGTTGTAAGAGTTCACCTCAAACTTGTACATCAGAAAAGAAATGGATAAAGCTGCATTTTAAAGCATAAAATAAGTTGTCAAATACATTGTGATATATTCCTGTAAGGCCTAAAATCCCACATTATCCCAGAATTAGGGCTGCAGCTAATGATTATATTAACTATCAATTAATCTACAGATTATCTTTTTGATTCTTTGTTTAATTCATTATGTGATGCTAAAAAAATACCCATCACAACTTCCCAGTCCACGGTGTCTTCTTCAAATATCTTTTCCAAAGAAGGTTAAAGTCAAGGGCAGCTGGACTTGTTTGAAGATACTAGAAGAGGTTTCGTCCCTCATCCAAGAGACTTCTTCAGTTCTGAAATGACCAGTAGGGGAACTGAGCTATTTAACCTCTGTGGGGTCACTTGCCAAGATCGTCGATACCACTGGTTCATTAGTTCTCCTGGCTGTTGTAACGACAGTCGTTATGGTCATTAGAACCACCCGAGGCCCAAGTCTGAACGACCATCGTTGGCATCTTCACCTGAGGCCAAGAGGTAGTGCTTGTTCAGTTTCCTGGGAAACTGAACAAGCACCTACTGGCCATTTCAGAACTGAAGAAGTCTCTTGGATGAGGGACGAAACGTCTTCTAATATCCAGTTGCCCTTGACCTCAACCTTCGTTGGATAATTATGACCTGGATGACAGAGAACCGTCACAGACTTCAAATATCTTGTTTTGTTCAAGCAAAAGTCCAAAACCAAAAAGTTTACAGAATGAAACAGAGAAAATAAGCAAAATCTCTCACTTGAGAAGCTGTTTGAAATGATGATTAATCAATTATCATTATAGTTACAGAAGATTATCTAATTGGGAAAAAAAGGATTTGCATTGGAAGGTGTCTATCTACCGAATCAATGAATTCAGTAATCATTTCAGCTCTACCCAGGGTTTCAAAGAACAGCGGAAACAGTGGATAATAATGCTTGCAGCCTGTAAGTGTGTGCACATTTGTTGGCATGTACCTTTCACTCCTAAGAACTCTTTCTAAGTTGAATTCTTGAAGGTACTGGATGAGCGGCCCCAGACAGCAGATCACTGGGCTCTCCAAGGATGCTACACTCGACAGAGAGCGAGAGCCTGTAGGACACAGACACACAAACGCACACAAACATGCTACATTTCCACAGATAAAAAAAATGAGTCACAGGGCCCACTGCTCAACACATCCAGTGTTTCACATGAATGGCTGTCTTGGTCTGAATGAGAATATATGAGTAACTGGAGGCAATATGGAGTAAAAGACTGAAAATAAAAGGGGCACAAACAAACACACCTTTCTCTTGGGAGTGGCAGTAGAATTCAGTGACTGTGTTCATTGCAGAGGCAAACTCAAACTGAGCGCTGTCCATCTTCTCCACTCTCACTCGGTCGTCAGCCTGAGCACTGGAGGGGAACAACATGACACCATTGACTCAAGAGGTCAGTGGTGCTTGTGACTGTACAGACAGAAGGAAACGAAACATCCGATATCTGATCCTCTTCCTATTGGGAAGAAAATTAGACACAGCAGCACTGCGTGTTCCAGCCGTACTGCTGTATAACACTCTAAACATGTATCCACACACTGTATGTGTGGTTGTGCACACATGTACAGGCACACACACTCACACAGTTTCCTTGCATCTCCCTATTGCCCTATTCACTCTCTTGGTATTGCTGCTTTCAAGGACTTGGCTGCTTTGTCTGCTCTGTTGTTGCCAGGGCAACCAAGGCAAACACGTGGCTCTGGATGCAGTGTTAGAGCATTTTTTAATGCTCCCACACACACGTTCCTCTATCCCCATGGGGACATCTCACTGACATAGCCCCTTACCCTAACCATCACAACACATGCCTAACCTTATTCTACCCCTAAAACCAAGTCCTCACCCTCAAATAGCCCTTTAAACTTGTGTGGTCCAGCACACACACACACACACACACACACACACACACACAGGTTGAACTGGGAGCAAAGACTGTATAAGAGCAATCAATAGACCGCATATTGTGCCAGCAGCCTAACAATGACTTTAATCATTTAAACAGTAAATTAAACTACATTATGAGGTTTATAAGAACAGCAATAATTGCTGGTATTGATCTCGGTAAAGAGCGGTGCAGTGTAGCATCTCTGCAAAATTCTGAGAGGACCCTGCATTGTGAACCTGGGTTCAGGAAGTCTCAGTCTGGTTGGAAGTCTCACAGGAAACTACAAAGCTGGACACTGGTTCAGGTGTATGCAAACAATTGACCAGAGGTTTGGGTCTGCTCATAACTGCAGTAAAGAATTAAAGGGTTATTTATCCTTAATTACAAAAATGCTAACATGCAAACAATGATAATACTAACATGCCAAAGTTTAGTAGATGTGATGCGTACAATGTTCATCGTCTTAGTTTGAATGTTAGCGTGTTAGCATTTGCCAAATACAATGAACAGCTGAGGCTGAGACATTAGTTTTGCAGGTATTTGATCATAAACCAAAGTAACAAATTCAAATTTTGACCTTATGGTGTTGCTAGAGGAAAAGTCAGGGCATCACCAAAATTATAGAATTAGAAATCCTCTAGGGACCACAAAGGTCTGTACAAAACGTCATAGCAGGCCATCCAATTGCTGTTAAAATATTTCACTCAAAACTATAAATATCAACCTCATGGTGGCGCTAGACAAAAAGCGAAGGGCTCACAAAAGTCTTTAGGATTCAACGTCTGGGGATCATGAATGCCAGCACAAAATTTCACCGCAATCTCTAACAGTTGTTGAGATATTTCAGTCTGGCCTAAAGTGGTGGACCAACCGATGCTGGCATCCACAGAGGCACGAGCATGGCCAAAACGTCAATAGAAGTGTGTCTTTCCAAGACCAGTATCTTCATCACTGTGGAAACCACAGTATATGCTTAAAAACTGTTTTGATTGATTTAAAAAAAAAAAAAAAAAACTATCTATATTTTGATTTCAGTTGTGAATCTATTCCATACATACGACATATATTGCAAGTCTGTCCATCCTGGGAGAGGGATCCCTCCTCTGTTGCTCTTCCCTGTTAAAAGGGAACGTTTTTGGGGAGTTTTTCATTGTTCAAATCGAGGCTCTAAGAACAGAGGTTGTTGTGTGCCATACAGATTGCAAAGGCCCTTGAAGCAAATTGTGATATTGGTATTCATTCACCATTTTTCCAATACTGTGAGAACAATCCATCATTTACATCCGTTGTATGGGTCGGCAGCATATACCTCAGAGATAGGTATCTCGAGATCTGGGGAAATAAAACCAAAACTATCAGTGGCTAGACCAACAAAGGTAAGTGAGAAGATGGGTTTTGTTTGTACTTCACATGAAGAAGTGACACCCTACTTCTTTGGCAATTTCTTTTTGTTGTTGTTCAAATGCTCAGAGCTCTGTGATGGTGATAATCAACCAAAAGCAGGGACGTGTAAAGGTTCAGTCAGAGATATTGTGACCAGAGATCAGAGGTTACTGTGCACAACAGATTAAAGCGATCAATCAGTATCTATTGATGCATGGTGAATACATAGAGAGAGGCCATTAAAATCTACACATTTTTATGTCTTTGGGGTGTGTGTGTGTGTGTGTGTGTGTGTGTGTGTGATACACGACTGCTGTCTTACCATGTACCCATGACGACTCTCTTTCATGAGTGTCAGTCATCAACTTAAAAGCTTGGGCAAAGTGAGGACATATGTTTTGACAGCATCAGCCGGCGAGCACTTGGGTTGCACTAAACCCCTTCACTGTTCTGATCCTAACTCATGACTCCAGGTTGTGGATGATTAAAGCAACTAATACTGCACCTAGCTACTACCAACCTCCCAGGGACTCATTACCTGCTGCACATGGACACATAAACCCTGTTGCCAGGGGGGCCGTCTCGTCAGCACATCCCAGAGGCATGGGGCTGCTGAGCTAACAGCACACAGAGCTCTCCTGTTAAATGTTCACCTGGGTAGGCCTTGCTTTAGTGTTTTTTTAATGTGTTGGAGTGACATTACTGTAATGTACTCAGAGTGATATCCATTAAAACATCTATTTCAAATAATTTATGTATTTTAAGTGTTTTAAGTCTGATGAATCACGGTTGAGGAAAAATAAATCCCTTGAGAATATCTTGAGAGGTCGCCAATAGCAGCAATGCAAAATAGGCCTGGTGTAGCAGAGTAGCATGTGTGAATATAATGTGATACATTTTCTGTCTGAGATGAAGCTGCATTTGTGTGATACAGGCTGCAAACTGACGTCGTGTCTCTGATGAGCAGAACGCTAGAGAGCAGTGCTGTTCAAACACAATAATTGGACTGGCCTTTACAGGCACATCTTCGCAATATTCAGTCCACACAGACGGCAGAAAAGAGGAGGGAGAGTGAAAAGAAAGAGAGGAATGAATACAGACTAATCAAATGTTTCAGATGAAATTTAAACTGAGGGGGAAATTAAAAAGGATATGGAATAGCCATTTAAAATTTTTTTAAAGGGTGGAAAAAGAAAATATGCACCATCAAGAAGTCAAACAAAAGAAGCAGACTTCCCTCCCATTTCCAACCATCCCCATCTAATCAAACTCCACTCCCACACTCCCTCGTTTCATTTTCACAGCATAATGCAATCACTGGCAACCTCCAAAGGAAAACTCCCCACTGGTGTGAACATGCTGGTGCACACAATGGGAGGCAACAGGTTCTATGTTATATGTCAGTTCAAAGTCACTGTCGCGGGCCTCTCTGTTAAGCCAGCCAATGAAGCAAAAGAAAATCTGAAATCTT